CGAAAATGTTGCATAATTGACAAGGAGAATGACTCCTTACTCAAAGAGAACACTATCCAAGACAGGGAATGAGTTAGAGGTTAATGTTAACTAGAACTCTTCCACCAAGGAAGAGTAGCATTACAACTCTAGTTATTTTCTACTCTACTAACTCTATAAATCGCAAGATGTTCTCACTTTACAGGTGATGCATAAAAGCAAAAGTTAAACGTGAATTGAAAGCAAAATAACAAGGCATTTTGCAAGCAGTTCGTGTGTGATTTAAATGTGCAAACCTGAAGCTACATGAACTAGATAGAAGAATCAGTTCCAAGTGTCTGTCTTTTATTCTAGTTCAATTGTAGTAGGTATTTTCATATTGTACCTTTCAGCTTTATCTAGAGGCAATTTTAATAGGTACTTAGAGTATTCAAGTTAGAGTTAACTTGAAGTTGTCGCAATAGTTAGAGGATGTTTGCTACAACGGGATTAGAGTAAATCCTAGGTTGACAAAAGTGTTATGTAAATGCAGTTTTTGGCTTGGTGATTTAGTGGAGAGTTTGGGAACATCCTACAGAGAAGTAGGTCGTGGTTTTTTCACCTTTTGAGCTAGGTGTTTTCCACGTAAAATACTTGTGTTCTTTATATTTCGCATTTACTATTTCAGTAATAGTAGGTTGAGGAATACTTAGAAGAACCAGGTCCTTCCATAATCAGTTTAAGCGAAAAATTGGACACCACACAAATCATCCCCCTCTCCTCTTGTGTAGTATTGAAGTTAAAACATCATATGGGGCTGAGTGTTGGCTAGTAAAGAGCGTCCATGTCCAGAAGTTGAAGGTAGCAGAGATGAGGATGTTGATATGGATGTGCGGGTACACCTGATTAGGTAGGATTAGGAATGAGATTATTCACGACAAGGTGGGTGTGGCCCCTATTGAGGAGAAGATGGGGGAAACGAGGCTTAGGTGGTTTGGACATGTAAGGAGGAGAAGCACAAACACGTCAGTAAGGAGGTATGGGAGGTTGATATTGGAGGTCTTGAGGAATTGGGGAGAGATAATTAGGCATGACATGGCGCAGCTGCAGCTAACCGAGGACATGACCCTTGATAGGAAGGTGTGGAGGTCTAGGATTATGGTAGTAGATTAGATGGTCTAGATTGTTCATACTGGTAGTATTAGTACGTACTCTCGCATTCTGTTGGTATTAGGTTTCCATGACTACCTGTCGTTTCTTTCATTTTGGTCATCTTACTATCTTGTTGTTTTTTATGCTGCTTTTAAATGGCTTCTCGGTATTGTTCCTTCTTGTCTTTATTTTTATTAACGTGGTGCCTATGCTTTCCTTAGCTGGGGGTCTATTAGAAACAACCTCACTATCATCACAAGCTAAGGGTAAGGTCGTACACACTACCCTCCCCAGACCCTACTATGTGGATCATACTGGATATGTTGTTGTTATTGTAAATTTTTTGACAATGAGTACAAACACAATAAAAATATACTTCATCCATTTTAATTTATGTGAACCTATTTTCTTTTTAGTTCGTGCCAAAAAGAATAACTCATTTCTATATTTAGAAATAGTTTTCCTTTTTGCAAAGATTTATAGCCTCAAAAATTATATGTGTCTTATTTTACATCACAAGTTCAAAAGCCTTTTCTTTTTTCTTAAGCTCCGTGCCCAGTCAAATATGTTTACATAAATTGAAATAAAGGGAGTATATATTTAAAATATTTAATTAGATATACATTGAATTTGATTTGTTAATTAGGTTCTAAATTAAATTAATAATTTTGTATGCATTGAATTGATCATTTAAGACAATACATAGTTTCAACAAAATTACTGGATTCGATCGAACTCGTAATTCAGTTCGCCGATGTGTTTAATTTGATTAAACGTGCTTACACGTGCTATGGACACTAAATACTCGACTAATCTTACCCAAGGCTTGTGTATGCCATGGATCCCACACGCAATTACACCCTACAAGTATATACATTTCTTATGTAGATAAACATTGGCCATGGAAATACACAAGTCTATTACTTGTTATCTTAAGAAGAAAAGACCAAATCATTAGTATAACCACCAATCGATAATTATTATTTAAGGCTTATGCTGAGGTATGACCTGATCAAAGCTATTGGCATAAATTCTCATCACAAATGTAACGACTGCAATATTGTCTTACAAAAATTAGTAAAGCATAAATTAATTAAGTTTTCAGAGTATTAGCAAAATGCTAGCCATTTCTTCTTCTCCTTTGTTTTCTGACCATTTTTGCTGGCTTTTGGAGGATCCCATAAGCCATCATTTTATAAACACTGCCACAGATACTTCAGATAATTCAGCTGCTGCACTTCATTCATCATCATCATCTCAAACAAGACTTCTTGAACACTGCGATGCCAAAAAATTTGATCAGATTAATAATAATGGTAATCAACCTGATCAGATGGTAAAGAAGCTTAATCACAATGCTAGTGAGCGTCATCGCAGAAAAAAATCAATAGCTTATATTCCTCTCTTCGCTCTTTACTTCCAGCTTCTGACCATAAGGTATTATGGATTATTTAAAACAAAAAAAAATAACTATCCTATTTTTCAATTCAATCTCTGAGCTTAAGATTTAAACTTAAATTTGCGCTGACAAGACTTGATCATTTTTTATGTTCACAGAAAAAACTAAGCATTCCATCCACAATATCAAGAGTTCTAAAGTACATACCAGAGTTACAAAATGAAGTGGAAAGACTAATTGAGAAGAAAGAAGATCTTACATCAAGAACAATCTCTAATAATGAAAATTCAGCTGATTTTAACAAGCAAAAAAGAAGAGGAGGAAATGAGAGCTCTTCATTAGTTATTTCAGCAACAGAAATAGGTGACAAAGAAGTGGTGATTCAGATATCTACTTTGAAGATCAATAAAGATTCATTTGATGAGGCTGTATCAGACTTAGAGGATGAAGGACTTCTTCTACCAAATTCATCTTCTTTTGAAACTTTTGAAGACATCGTCTTCTATGCCTTGCATTTTCAGGTATGGAATGTTTTTTTTTCAAAATAAGGAATTTAATGTGATGCATAACATACATCATATAAATCGAAATGGAGAGAGTAGCATCTTTTCGTATATAGTTTGTTTGTTCTATTATCCTAATTCCTAATTGTTGTTTTCCCCTTTTGTGTATTATTAAGCAGGTTCAAGGAACAATGGTAGTGTTTAATCAAAAAATAGAATTTCAGTCAAAGCTAGAATTTAGAAGAAAACGGGGTACTGATAATCAAAAGAGTATATAGAGGAAAGTAATTTGAGGTAATTAGAGTGTAATCAAGAGAAAAAACAAGTAAATCAAAGTATATTCCGATAATATCTCTTGTTCCTACAATTGATCAGATACCTCCCTTTTATAGGTATCTTAAAGATATGCGTTTTCCCCAAATCATAATGAGGCTATTATGAATAATTAAAGACATTGAATACTACGTTACATAATCATTATAATCAATACAAATTCCCTAACGTATCCAGTATTTAATACCTGTCAAATTCTGTATCTGCGCTCTTTACTGTGGTCAGATCCATTCCTTTTGATTCTTGGATATAAATGACTTAAACATGTACGGCCACCCGTGCCTCTTCCTTTGTCTTTGCTCGTTTCTATTGTTGCTCGTGCCTCTTGATTAATTGTAATTCTTTGACTATTTGACCAGTCCACGTGTCTCGACACGTCATCCTTATATAAATGTAATTTTTTCAAATACAGATAGTCCCCCTATTTTCCATTTATTCATCAGTTAAATATTTGGGAAGTGGTTTTCATTAAAACGAGAATTTTTGTCACCATTAATGTTATGACAAAATTGACGCTTCAATTGTCACTTCCATTTAATACTCCGTACACGTATCAATTTTTCATTGGTTCTGCAGTTTTTGCAGCCTTTTTCAAGGTTTTTACGGTTCCACTATTTACGAAGTGCCAGTTATCATAATTGTGATCCTTCCTTCACTGCACTTTTATCTTTGGCGGTCGATTATCAATATAAGTATAACTTCTTTCCTTGTCTTTTACCTCATAAAATTTTACTGAACACTTAATTTCTCCATTCTCTGTTTACTTCTTCTTTACATCATTCCTCTTCGCTATGTCTTCACAAACCCTCTCTCTCCAGAATCTCCATTGTCGATTATTTCCCCAATGCCCCTGTTAGGCATAGAAGGGGAGGTAGGCTTCGTAGCTTAGGATCTACTCGAGGTGGTTCGTCTATGCCTTCTTCTAGTTCTGGTCCCTCTTCTAGAACCAGAGGTTCCCTTTCTCACAAATCTTCTTCTAGGAGTAAAGAACCTTCTGAACCATTACGCAAACCTTTAGTAGAAGAGATAGTCCCTACAGAATTATCTTTTTACCACGATAGGGAATCTCTAAGAAACTAGACTGCCACTTTGGATCGTGTCGATACTTACCCCGCTCAAATTACAGAAATTTTGACTCCTGTGGTTCGTAAGGATTGTCATTGGAGTAACGATTTTCCCATTATTATCCCTAATCTGAATCAGAGGATAACTTCTTATTTAACTGGGTTTTCTTTTGTTTACATATACCCTTTTACTTTAGGGTTCAGACCAACGATTGACCCAGTCATTCTCGAATTTTGCCGTTTCTTCAACGTCTGTTTGGGCCAAATTGGTCCGATCATATGGAGGGTTGTTACCTGTTTAAGGCATTTAGCCACTAAAGCCAAAGTTCCTTTTACTTTCCCCCACTTGATTCATCTTTACTCACCTGGGCTTTTTCGCAATGGTGTTCTTACACTAGTAGCCAGGAGTAAGAGGGTTTTGGTGAGTCCCGAAGATGACAAAGACCGCGACTGGTATGCCCGATTCATTGCTTCCACCACTGTTGGTTTAGTGGGTGAGGATAATGTTCCCTTCCCTGAGAAGTGTAATTTTGCACGTAAGTCTTTTAACCTTCTCGTACCTTTTTTCCTTCAAGTTTGCCAACTTCTCTAATTTTGCTTTTGTTATTTTTTTCTTAGCTACCATGGGAGTTGTGGGGGATGTTCCCAACTTCCGTGGTTGGGTAGATAAATTGCTGAAGATCACACCGATGAACGGTAGGTCTTGGAAAACACTTTCTAACTATTTTGGTTGGAAGGTAAAGACTCATGATAAGAATTTATATTTTGTGCCTTTCGTATCTATATTCTCTTTTATTGCTCTAATTTCTATCCTTTTTTTGTCTGGATTTGCTATTCGAGGAGTTACTGCTGAAGTAGTTGCGGCTTCTCGTGATTCCTAGGGAACCCATACTCCTTTAGGAACCCATATCTCTTTAGAAAGAGCCCGAGAAATAGTTTTGGGTTCTTCTTCTGCAAAAAGGAAAGTTGCAGAAGAGGAAGACTCTGAAGAAGAGGGAGATGAGGTCTCCCTGGTGACAAGGCCTCGAGTTAGGAGATGCATCGTATCTGATGACAAAGCTGAAGTGTCGGTTTCTCTTACCGAACCTGTTGAAACTCCAATAATAATTCCGGACGATGACGTCACTCCCCACGATACTCGTGAGTCTATTGACCAACTTTTCATCAGCAGATTTGGCCGTGAAGATGTAGGACCTATTTTAGACGAAGTACCCTTATCTTCTTTTCCAACTCCCATGCTTGTGGTTCCTTCCTTACCGGCCCCAGCTATTTCCGTTCCTTCTTCTACTGCTTGTACCTCTTCTCCGGCTCCTCCTTTGACTATTCCCCCTCCTATCGTTCATCATACAAAAGCGGGCTCTTCAAGTAGAAGTGCCGATATGAGGCGGGTAACTATTGAAGTTCCTGGTGAGAGCAGCCTTTTGAGAAAGTCAGGTCAGGTAGATGCATGGTTGGAGCCTTTAATCGGCACAATTGAAAAAGCCAAGTTGGAGAGTCATAGTTCCCTGACTTTAATGAATGATATCGTACATGCTACTTTGAAGGTACTTTCCTTCTCTTCCTTTTTTGCTTTATAATTAGACTATCTTTGAGGATTCTTACTTCCTTTTCCCCTTTTCAGGCCAATCTTATTGGCATAGAAATGATGAAAAGAATCGCCCCCTTGGAGAAGATAGCACGTGACTCTCATTCGGAAGGAGCAATTTGAGCGTGCACAGATTGATATAGAAGACTTACAAGAGAGCAAGAGTACCTTAGAGCAGCGAGTGCGGGCTTTAACTTCAGAATTGGCGGTTGCAAAAGCTTCTTCAAGCCAAGCAGAAAAAGACAAAGAACATCTCGAGTCCTCCTTCTCAGAGCAACTATCTAAAGCTAGTGAAGAAATCAAAGAGTTAAAAGCTCTTTTGGACCAAAAGGAAGTTTACGCTGGGGAGCTCGTGCAAAACTTGACTCAAGCACAAGAGGATCTCAGAATCGCAGCTGATAAAGTGCGTGTTTTAGAATGATCCCATGACTCTCTTCAAGTTTCCCACAACTCCGCCTTGGCTGAAAATGAAGAGCTAAAGAATGAGATCGCTGCTTGGGAAAAGGATTATGAGATCCTTGAAGAAAAATCTGTTGTCGAGACAAGTTGGGCATTTTTGAATTCTCATCGTGATACCCTACTTGAAGCTGGTCAAGAAAACTTCAACCTGGAATTGGAGTTAGCTAAGATCACCAAAACCATTGAAAAGGCTCAACAAACTCAGGACTTCCCTTCTCCCGCGGCTGAAGCTCCCATGAATGTTGAAGCTGATATGGGTATCCCAATTCTTTCAAGCCCAATCAAATTTGTTACTACAAGCCAGACTGAAACTGCATCTGTTGATATAGCTGCCCAAATTGAACCCACTGTTGTCGATGCTCCTGCTTCGGTTCCTCAAACTTCTCACTGACCGGTTTTGAACGTTCTAGTGATTTTGCTTTTGTTTTGGAAAACTATAATCAGACCCTTAACTTTATTTGAGGGTTGATTTTGAAGTCGTAAGTCCCCAAGTCTTTTATGGGGCAGGCAATCTATATAGACAATCTCGTAGTTGTATGACTAAGTTTGTCCTTAGTCTTAGATTTTTACATATTAAGAAGTTCCTCGTGTTATTATTATAAACTTCTGTTANCTAGGTTTGTCCTTAGTCTTAGGTTTTTACATATTAATAAGTTCTTCATGTTATTATTATAAACTTCTGTTATCTTTATTCTTGCCTTAATTTTTAAGGACTTACAGAATAATTTGCATTTTTATTCTTCGAAAATGCTTCTGTTATCCTCATGACTAATTAATTTGAACATGAGTTTTATAAAAGAGGGCCCTTTTATATTTCGACACTTAATGAAGTAGACGTCTCAACTTTATAATGGTGTTAACATACGATAAAAGAAATAGGAACACACATGTTTCTTTGAAATAACTTTGACAAGTTGTTATTGGAACTTATAATTCTTTACATGTATTTGAAGTACATCTATAACTTTCTCGTAACTATTTTTCTTGTAACAGATTTTTACAAAAGAAGAGTAATATGTACGGGGTTTTTCCTTATAACCCGTTTTAGTATATGGCCTTTACCCTAATACCCTAAATATAATGAGGTTTTTGTTTCTCTTTAGCCTCAGCTCGTGGCTCTATCTCGTAACTTTTATTCTGCACTTGACTCTTTTAGGCTATTTACTCTGCACTTGACTTTTTTAGGCTTGATTTTCCCTCAATCTTCTTTTCCTTCTTTATACACATGTCTATGTATATTATGTAGTCCCCCAAGTGTTTGAGTGTTGAAGTATGAAGCCTCGAGCACTTGATAGTTCCTCTCATTTGGTTGTTTTCCTGAAAAGGAAAAACACACGGGACTCGGAAGGGCGATTATAGATGAAAACTGCGTACCCCGTATTTATTTCTATCAGAATAGTTGTAACCCTAGGCCAGGAATTTTAGGTTACTCCGTGTGCCTTACAGGTCGTAACTCATCATTTAGTATGGTATAGCTTTTTGCCTATCATCTAAAATTGTTAGTAAAATTTTAACAATTCAAAAATGAAATATAAAATGGTTATACCTGACCGTGGGTTTCCCTTAGAAATAGTATCTCTTCAAATGAACAGCATTCCAATGTGATGGTAGTACTTTGCCATCCATTGTTTCTAGTTCATATGCTCCTTTTCCTGCAACATCACGAACTCTGTAGGGTCCTTCTCATGTTGGACTTAATTTTCCTGCGTTAGCTGCTTTTGTAGATTGAAAAACCTTTTTAAGCATGAAGTCCCCAATTTTGAAGAACCTGAGGCGTGTTTTTCTATTGTAGTATCGTTCTATGACCTGTTTTTGTGCTGCCATTCTTATTAGTGCAGCTTCTCTCCTTGCTTCGAGTAAATCTAGGTTGACTCGCATCTCCTCGTCATTAGATTCTTGTGTCGCCTGCGTGAATCGGGTACTCCGTTCTCCTATATCGACTGGAATCAAAGCTTCAGTTCCATAAACCAATGAAAACGGTGTTTCTCCCGTACTAGTTTTCGTCATCGTACGATATGCCCATAAAGACCAGGTAGCACTTCTGGCCAATTTCCTTTTGACTCTTCTAATCGTTTCTTCAAATTGTTGATAATGACTTTATTTGTTGATTCTGCTTGCCCATTACCCACTGGATGATAAGGCGTAGACGTTATTCTTTTAATTTGCCAACTTTGAAGGAATTCCGTGATCTGAGCTCCTATAAATTGAGGGCCATTATCACATACGATCTCCTTTGGTACACCAAATCGACATATGATATTCCGCCAAATAAAATCTCGTACTTCCTTTTCTCGCACCTGTTTGAATGCACCTGTCTCCACCCATTTAGTAAAATAATCAGTGAGAACAAGCAAAAACTTTACCTATCCTTTTGCTTGTGGTAATGGACCCATGATATCCATTCCCCATTTCATAAATGGCCATGGCGCAATGACTGGGTGTAATAGCTCCGTAGTTTTATGCATATTGTTATCGTACCTTTGGCATTTATCACATTTGGCTACCAAACTTTCCGCTTCTTCTTCCATTTTAGGCCAGTAATAACCTGCCCTAATTAAGGTTCTTACCAGTGATCTTCCACCTACGTGATTCCCGTAATGTCCCTCATGTATTTCTCTCATTACATACTCTGTTTGTGAAGGTCCAAGACATCTTGCCAAGGGATCACCGAACATTTTACGATATAGATTGCCTTGTTTTAAGCAGTACCGAGTAGCCTTTCTTCGTAGCACATAAGCCTTTTTCTTGTCATCAGGGACGGTTCCATACTGCAAAAAAGCAACAATTTCGTTCCTCCAATCTCATGTTAAGTTATTAAAATTTACCTCATTCACATCAGGATCAAGAACTGAATGAAATAAATGTATCATTGAGGCATTTGCATCATTTGCCACGTCGGCTGCAGATGCGAGATTAGCTAGGGCGTCTGCTTCAAGATTTTCGTCCCTGGGTATTTGTCTAACTTTCCAATTTTGAAATTGTTTTATCAATTCCCGTACCTTTTCCAAGTACTGCTGCATCCTTGCTTCCCTGGCTGTATAAGTCCCCATCATCTGATTGACTACGAGTTGTGAATCACTCTTGATTATAATCTGATTTATGGCAAGTTCCCGTGCCAGTTCTAAACCTGCAATCATAGCCTCATATTCTGCCTCATTGTTAGTTATGGAATGACATTTGATAGCTTGCCGAATGGTTTCACCCGTAGGTGGTACCAATACGACCCCTAAACCTGCTCCTTTTATGTTAGACGAGTTGTCAGTGAATAAATTCCAAGTCCCTGGGTTAGCTCCATTGAATACCTGCAATTCTTTTTCTGCTTCTAACTGCATTCCCTGGCTAAAATCAGCCATGAAATCAGCTAATACTTGTGATTTTATAGCAGTTCTAGGTTGGTATGCAATTTCATATTCACTTAACTCTATTGCCCACTTAGCTAACCTACCTGATAACTCATGCTTATGTAATATGTTACGTAAAGGGAAGGCAGTTACTACAACGATAGGATGACACTGAAAGTAAGGTCTTATCTTTCTAGATGCCATGATTAACGCAAATGCAAGTTTTTCTAACTGAGGATACCTCTTCTTCGCACCTAACAAAGATTTACTTACGTAATGGATAGGGGATTGTTTACCTTGTTCTTCTCGGACCAAAACATCGCTTACCGCCACTTCCGAAATAGCAAGGTAGATGAGTAGTTTTTCCCCAGCCTTTGGTTTTTCCAGCAAAGGTGGATTTGATAAGTACATTTTCAAATTCCTAAGTGCCTGTTGACATTCCTCATTCCATTCAAAATGATCCTGCTTCTTAAGGGCTGAGAAGAATTTGAAACACTTTTCTGACGATCTAGAAATGAATCTTCCCAAGGCTGCAATTCTTCCTGTTAATCTTTGAACTTCTTTCTTGTTTGAAAGTATGTCAGGAATTTCCTCAATGGCTTTAATATGTGTAGGATTCACTTTAATACCACGGTTAGAAACAAGAAAACCCAAAAACTTACCTGAACCAACGCCAAACGCACATTTTTCGGTATTTAGTTTCATATTAAATTTGCGCAAAATCGAAAATGTGTCAGATAAGTGTGATATGTTATCCTTTGAGTACTGAGTTTTAACAAGCATATCATCTATATATACCTCCATGGTCTTTCCTAAATGCTCTTGAAACATTTTGGTAACTAACCTCTGATACGTTGCACCTGCATTCTTTAGGCCAAAGGGCATTACCTTATAACAGTAAGTCCCCCTTTCTGTTATGAATAAAATTTTTACTTCATCTCTTGGATCCATTTTAATCTGATTATAACCTGAATATGCATCTAAAAAACTTAACAGCTTGTGACCTGCAGTTGCATCAATCAATTGATCTATGCGGTAGTGGAAAAGAATCTTTAGGGCAGGCTTTGTTAAGATCTGTGTAATCTACACAAACCCGCCACTTACCGTTCTTTCGGAACCACAACAGTGTTAGCTAACCAGTTAGGATACTTTACCTCTCGAATGGAACCAATTTTTAGCAATTTTCAGACTTCTTCTTGAATCACCTGATTCTTGAAAGTCCCTTGCTTTCTTTTCTTTTGCTTCACAGGGGAGTATGATGGATCTTCATTTAGTTTATGAGTCATAACTTCTGGTGGTATTCCTGTCATGTCAGAGTGGGACCAAGCAAAGCAGTCCATGTTAGTTTTCAAAAATTCAGTTAACTTACCTTTCATCCCTTGGTCAAGATTGGCTCCTACAAAGACTTTTTTATTAGGCCATTGAGCAAATAACACGACAGGCTCTAATTCATCTATCGTTGTTTTGATATTTTCATTCTCTTCTGGTTCTTGAATGGTATCAGGCATTGAGTCTACGTCTGTTTGCCCTTGTTCAGTCGAGGCTTGTGCTGCGAAGTCCTCAACTGCCTTCTGTGATTGCTATTTACCTTCACTTCTCATACTTGTATTTGCAACAGAGTTGATAGCCCTAGAAATATGTTGATCTCCACGAATTTGACAGATTCCCCATAGCGATGGAAATTTAATAACTTGATGCAAGGTCG